ACCTCTGCCTCCTGGGTTCAGGCAATTCTCCTGCCTCAACCTCCTGAGTAGCTGGGATTACAGGCACGCGCCACCATGCCCAGCTAATGTTTTGTATTTTTAGTAGAGACGGGGTTTCACCATGTTGACCAGCATGGTCTCGATCTCTTGACCTCATGATCCACCCGTCTCTGCCTCCCAAAGTGCTGGGATTACAGGCTTGAGCCACCGCGCCCGGCAGGATTTTATATATTTAAAAATATTTGTATTTGCCCAGCTGGGTTTTATATATTTAAAATATTTGTAAAGCCGATGTAGGCCAGGCATCGTTTGTATTTTAGTAGTGAAACCGGAAGCAGAATCTAGATATGATTATCCTGATTTGCTGAATATTTTCAAGGCCTTTCAGTGCACTCATTTCGATTTCTCTTTGAAAACATCTGCATTATTCCTTCTGCTGTTTTGAAATAGAGACTCTAGATCTAAGACATTGTATAAAAAGAAAGATTAGTATACCTCTTATTATATGACTAACATTTCAACCAGTTAAGACATATTACATATGAGCATGACTATTGTTTGTGCATTCTCAGCATTAGCAATTAAGAAGCAGTAGAACTGACACTAAATGAATGAGTTTAGCACCTGGGAGTAGTTACTAATTTCTTGTGATCTTGGATACATTAAAAAAATTACATGATTGTACCCTAGATGGTTCACTATTCAATTTTCAAACCTATATATTTTATTTTATTTTATTTATTTATTATTATTTTTTTTAAAGACGGGGTTTCACCATGTTGGTCAGCCTGGTCTTGAACTCCTGGCCTCAGGTGATCCGCCTGCTTTGGCCTCCAAAGTGTTTGAATTACAGACGTGAGCCACCACGCCAAAGCTGTATTTTTTTTTCTTTTTATATCCAACAATTTAAACACAGGACATGCTTTTCTGTAATTCAGTTTAGTATGAGATTTGTTTTGTTTTGTTTTTGAGGCCCATTGTCTTGGGCTTCAAACAGAAAACACTAAATGGATGTCTATCACAATTAGGTTTCTTATGACATTGCCTTCTGACTAGACTGAGTAATAACGTAGTTCTCTTTTGTGAGTATGAGTCTCTTTTGGGAATGTGTTTTGTGCCGATGGCAGTTAAAACAGCATCTCTCAGGCCCGGCGCAGTGGCTCACGGCTGTAATCCCAGCACTTTGGGAGGCTGAGGCGGGTGGATCACGAGGTCAAGAGATCGAGACCATC